ATTTTTACTCATTTTGGGTGAATTGGCCCTTTTGTTCACTTCTTGGGCAGGTTCACAAAAATGAATTTGTAGTTTGTTTGGATTTTTCTTATTGTTACTGAGGGAGCAGCAGTCTTTCCAGCTACATTCTATACAAAAGCCGACCTTATTTGTATTTCTTGTTTAGTCAATTTTAGGTACACATATCTTTAAAAAGTCTGGTAACGAAAATTCTGTTTTTAAAATTTTCACTATCTGGCATAGATGTTAGAAGCAAGACTGGAGATTATTCGCGTTGTGTTTCCCTCAGTGACAGTGGCCAAACTCCGGGTAGGTTTCCTTGTCCTCGAGTGTAGCCCTGATTCCACGTCCATTTCCCCCGACCAGTTATTGCAACACACAGGGCCCCTTTACCTAAAAACGTCACGACATGATTAACTTAGAAACCCAACTGCCCAGCACATAAAAACTATAATCTAGTGCACTAAAATTCAAACTATAAGAAATCAATCAGGGTCAGTGCTATCGGGTGACGTCCGAGACAGAACTGGTCACTTCACAGACTTTCTGCCGCTGGGGATCCAGCAGCCAGACCCCACCCACAATGCGATAGAGAGCACAGGACGCAGAAGGGCAGGAGCTGGCACTTCTCCGTTAAACGCGCGGTTCCAACAACGACACAAGGAAGCGGATTGTCTCACAGGAGCCTGGATGAATTTTTTTATCACATAAAACAGGAACAATTAATTGGAAATAGGCTCCCTTTGGCTCCTCATTTCGAAACCTTGTGGGAGTTTTTAGATGCACTCCTGATAGAAGCCGGCTCGCCAGCACTCGGTTGCTACAGAGACGGTGTCCCTGCCAGGGCCCTCCATGGCGATGCCTGACGCCCTCTCGTTTAGGAAAGCCAGCCCTTTACAGTTACAAACGTGGGGTGTGGGGGAGAGACTATGAAGACGGTCCAACATTTCCCTACGTCTCATAGCAACGCTAACAATCCCAGTTGAATGAGGTTGGGTTACTCTCTCCCGAATGGGTGGTTTTTACCTGAAAATTTCCGTCAAATTGAGCTCCAACTGCACGCGGTAACTATGCTGGGGTGTTGATGGTGACTTCTAAACTACCTCTGACCCCCTGGCCAGTGTTGCTCAGTGGTTGTGACCACCCATGAACCAGGGCACATGCCGGGGATGCTGAGCTTGATCCCCAGTCGGGGGCGTGCAGGAGGCAGCCGATCCATGTTTCTGTCTCCCCCTGTCCCTGCCCAGGAAGCTTGGTGGTCTCTGTTTGTTTTGTTTTCCCATCAATGTGCTACTTTCCCCACATTTCCTGGGATTGGAAATAAAGGACACCGATGGTAACAGCCCTCCAGCCCTCCTTGCTTCAAGTCCCATCCACAGTGAACAGTTTCTGTTCAAATCAGAATTCTTGGGACAGAGCATGTCTGTTGCTTTCTAATTTTATTTTGTTTTATAAACGGGGCTCCCTCTCCTTGGTTTCCCCCTTTTGCCCTTCTGTTCCCTGGAATCTCTGTATTCTCTCTCCCTCCCCTGCCTCATCTATACAGATGTTGCCCCAAAATTTTAGACCTAGGCTGTAGAATAACTTAAAGCCCCACTGTTTCTTCTACAAAAGTATTAACTACACACAAAAAAGTAGGATTTCAAGATGAAAGAAGGCTGGATGGACATGGGGACAGAGAGGGACAAATCTTTCGCTTTTACTGCGAACACCTACATTTTCCTCGAGCATTGTCGTTTTCAACGTGGCTCTTAGCAAAGGTGTATTAGAGCTGGAAATCCCCACACATGGTGGAGAGAATTCAATTTTGCTGCTAAATTGCAGCAACATTTTCCTCTACCTTTGAGGGCAGATGGAGACCTCACCATACAATGGTCCATTTCATGACTTTCAAAAAGAAAATGTCAATTTTGTCACCTTGTAATAAAATGGGACACCAAAGACGCAGGTCCTGCATCTAACAGGGAAGGTCAGCAAGGACAATAAAATTCACAACTTTATTAATGAATGTTTAAAAAGCGACCTGGGCAAAATAGACACAGAAAGGACAGTGTTAGCAAGAGTCTAGAACAAAGGCTGCATATTACATTTGAAGGAAAATCCATCACTCATTTTAAACCTGGAATTTTTAAAAATGGGCAAAAGCTTTGAACAGGCTCTTTATAGAAAAAGATTGATAGGTGACAAAAGACCAAAAAAACCACCCTAAACAAAAACAAAAAACACGTGAGGAAGTTCAGCGCCGTTAGTCCTCAGGGAAATGCCAATTGTAACAACAGTGAGAAATCGCAGACTGTCTGAGTGAACTAGGTCTTCCTGACCACCAGAGGGAAATGTCGGGTGGTGTGAGTTCCCAACATCTTCTCGATCTTAGTAGGTCTGGACACTCATGTCCGGAAGGCAGGTGCGGGCAGGTGGGAAACAGAGTCTCTTTCCCCTGCTCTGAATTTCTCTGTTGGTCCTGACCCTGGAGAACCCAGGGCCCACCTGAGTCACTGTGACCCCAGCAGTGTCCCTGGACCTGACCAGGCAGTGGGGTGGAGATCTCCACTCCTGTTTAAGATTTTGATTATTCCAGAAGGTGCCTGGGGTAAGGCTAGGCCAAGCCATCTGAGCATTTGCTCAGTACCTGAGGACCCTGGCCAGTTTTCACAGGAGGGTGACTGCCCAGCAGCCACTCACCTGGAGGCGTCCAGGGCCCCAACCTCACCAAGTACCCAGGTCACGTTCCCAGCCCCGAGCTCATCCTGATTTGGAGGAGTTCCCCTTGCTGCACTGAAGGAAGATCTCAGGCTCTGGGAAGGTTTTCCAGACCCCGAGGTGGGGAAGTAACTCTGGCCTGATTCGGGGTGCAGCCAGTGGGTTGGCAGCGGTGCATGGGTCTCGGGACCCCCAGCCATGCACCTGCTTCAGAACCTGCCAGGGCAACTCTGCAGGAGCTCCAGCCTCTGAGGGGGATGGAGCCTTACTCTGCTGTAGCTCAGGCCTGCTTTTGCATTTCCAACTCTGCCCAGGTGAAGCAGGCTGGAGGAAATGCGTCTCCTGGCTGGTGACAGAGACGGCAGCTTGCAGCCAGTTCCTGGCCGGTGACCTCAGGGTATCAGGGAGCCTTTCTGGCAAATGAAGTGCATTTGGAATCCAGATGTACAACACTGTTAGGTGTGAATGAACATAAAATACGAAGAATAGATTAAAATTGGTGTGTTCGTTTAAATCAACGCTTTGAAAACATATTCATATACAACAGAATTTTAAAAAACACTTCTAATTTTGTATCACGTCTTAAGCAAACAGGTAGTGTCATTTTATTCTTAGGTTTGAAAGTTTGCTTCTATATGCTTAAAATATTTACTCTAGAATCAGTAATGATTTAAACACTACTAAGCAATATAAGCTTATTTGTACTTAGTACATTTGGGCTTATAAAACATATTTTTTATAACTTCTTTATTTTATTTCTCCACTCACACATTTAAATATTTTTCTTAAGCTTCTCTTCACACATAGAATTAAACAGAAAGTGTTGTCTCACTGACCAGAGGCTGTCTCACCCCCGGAAATAAGAGCTTCTTGGTGCTTCACAGGGATGAAGATTAACTGCTCCTTGACTGTGACCTTTCTCGTAGCTCTAACTGGATTTATTGTAATAACTCTGCACATCCCTAGAATTCTGCAGCATAGTCCTGAGAAAGGCTCAGTGTATGGTTATGTTCACACAGTTATTTCCACCGTGTTCCTCGGAACATGGGCCAGGAGGAACTTACCATTTCCACCCGTTTTACGGATGGAAAAACAGTTCCTGACAAGATCAGATAAGATGCCCAGCACTGGTTGGTGGGCCAGGGTTGCCCTGGTTAACACAACCGAGCGGGGACGGGCCCTCCTATGGGCGTCCTGTGCTGTCCTGTCCCCAGGGCTCAGGACACCCTCGGGGGCTCTGCACCCAGCCGTGCCCCCCATAGAAGCACCTCTTCTCCCCGGCCCCACACTTTTTACCCATCACAGGGGTTTTATTTTCAGTTCAATTCTCTGGATCGTGGAGAAATGTAAGTCAATGAACACTTTAGATACACGTTCATGCCCGGTAGCATCGGGAGAGTCTCACAATTAAAAAGTTCAATTTCCCTTCTTCATTAAATGCCAGCAAGTACCGAAGAGACGAGCGTGTGTGACACCCATGCAAAACCTCTCCCATTAGTGGGCTCAGATGTGAAAAATAGGTCATCTTAGTAATTCCGAGTGTGGATGCACACGTGGCCCAGAATTCCACTTTCTGTTCCTAAAATCTGTGCCATACTAGCAAGGAGGCTGTACTATTAAATGTCGTAGAAAAAAATATGTAATGTAAAAATGAGAGAAGCCACATCATAATCTGAGGGAAATATGCACTTGTGGTTTTATTGAGAGATCCAGCTGTGAACTTCTATTGGATTACTGAGACCCGTCCAACCGTCCTGTGTTCCAAGGAAGCCAGTCACTGCCCAGAGGGGGTGTTTAGAAAATATTTCTTATTAGATGCTCCTGGTTCCTCAAAAGGAGGCCCGTCCATGTTGCAAAACTAACATGCCTGACCCTGGCCCGTGTGGCTCGGTTGGCGGCGTCGTCTTGGGCACCGAAGGGCCGCCAGTTGGATCCGGTCAGGGCCCGGGCCCGGGCTGCAGGCTCGACCCCAGCAGCGGGCGTGCAGGAGGCGCCCGGGCCACGTGTCTCTCTCATTCACGTTTCTCTCTCCCGCTCTCTCCATTCCTCTCTCTCTAAAAAAAATCAACACAAACGTTTAAAAGACAAAGCGAAGCGAAACACACATCCGTGCGGTGCACGCCGACCTCTGCTCGCTCTGGACGGCGGCACCTGTCGCTCATTCCTCGCTCTCGGTCCCGCCCCCGGAGGTCCCCTCGCTCCGCAGGGCTCCCCTCGAACGCTGCCTCGTCTGCTGCAACCTTCCTTTCCCGCCAGGAAAAGCAGAGGCGTGGCCCGGGTTCCTGGGATCTCGTCCGTACCTGGCTGCAGCCCTGCGCTCTCCTGTTCATGGAGAACGCGCTCGGTGCCGTGGACGTGCCGGGTGACGTCCTGGGTGACGTGCCGGGTGACGTGCTGGGTGACGTCATGGGCGACGTCCTGGGTGACGTGCTGGGTGACGCGCTGGGTGCGGACCATCGTGGTCACTTCTCACAGCCGCAGGACGAGAGGCGGCGTCTCTTTGTGCCGCAGTGAGGTTCCGCGGGCAGGAGGGATGGACACAGAGTTTTCACTTTTTCCCCACTGGGGTTTGGTGAGGAGGTTACTCCAGCTGAGGACCTCCAGCAGTTTTAGCAACCTGCATTTTCCATCAGTGAGGGCTGAATGTTAGCGAAACCTTTGAGTCTTTTTTTTTTTTTTAAACCTTTTAGGTTGATGGGAACCTGCTTGAAAATCTGTTTTTAAATCGAGATGTAATTGGCGTGCAACATTGTGTAGGTTTAAGGTGTGCAACACATCGAGTTGATACACTTATATGTTAAATAGGATTTCCACAGTTGTGTTATTGAGTCATTTATCTTCCTATTTCATGGGTCTAGGGTAATACTTGGTATGAAGAGACATTTAATATTTATTGTGTTGATATCATATTGATTTGTTGAATAAATAAGTAGAAAGTGAAGTGATCAAGTATCCGCAGAGATAAGGTGACCCTGGTATTTGCGTTTCGGGAAGGGGTAGGTCTCAGGTGGAAATGTTACTTTAAAGATGGTCAATGTGACGTTTTATATTTTTATATATCACTATTTTGTCTAATTTTGTTTATTTGTATTCTTAAAGCTGCTCATTGGTCTGCCACACTTTTGTTGTTGTTGTTTGTTTTTGTTTAAACTATTACCAATGTCCCTTTTTCTCCCCAATGGCCCGTTCCACCCCGTCCCATCCCCCTCCCCGCCCCTCTTCCCACCCTTGTCCGTGTCCTTGGCTTGTGCATATAAGTTCTTTGGTTACTCTCTCCCCCTCCACCCACCCACCCTCCTGCATCCCTCTGACATTCATCAATCACATCTGTGCTTCCATGTCACTGAATCTATTCTGTCCATCAGTTTATTAAGTTCTTTAGATTCCACGTATAAGCGAGATCATGTGATGTTTGTCTTTCTCTGCCTGACTTATTTCATTTATCATAATACTCTCCAGGTCCCTCCACACTGTCCGAAAGGGCATGAGGTCCTTCTTCTTTACAGCTGCGTAGTATTCCGTGGTGTAGATGTTGGTCTGCCATACTTTAAATTTCTTCTCTGATACATGTTAATGATTCTGTATCAGATATTTAAAAAGTGAAAATAGGTTCTACTTCTGACCGTGTGAGTACCAGGTACAGGAGGTGTTTGTCTCACCAGCGTGCTGAGACCAGCGACCATCCGCTGTCTCTCCTTGCATGTTGCTGACCTTCGCCCTGGCGTGTGCATTCCCTGTGTTTCGTTTGGTCTCCCAGGGACATGAAAATGACCCCAGTGACTTAGCGTACGGATTTTTTATTTTTATTTTTTGGCTTAAACAGCTGGTCTGTTTTGACCAGGGGACTTAGGGTTTTGAGGTGCTATGAAGTTGAACTATTGTATCTTTATTTTCAAAAATCTTGTCTTATTTTAATGTTACTTTATCAAATGAAGTTCCAATCCATTTAGAAATCCACGCTTTCCACCACCTTTTACATCTTTTTCCCACTTAAAGAAGTCTTGCCTTTTAAAGCGGCTCCATCTGAGTGTCTCTGAGCACCGCTGGCCTCTCTTCTCTTCCTCCTCCTGTACACTTGATTAAGGAGAACAGATCTGCCGCCCGAAAGGCCCTCCATCCGCCCAGGTCAGCAGTCGCAGGCTGCCGGGTTTCTGCTCTGCCGTCTCTCCTGCTCCCTTCCCCCCTTCACTTCCCCAAACAACATTTATTGAAAAGAGTGGTGTTGGCCTAGTTTTTTCTTCAAAAACCAATAACTGTGCCCAGGATGTTCTCATAAAACGAAAATGGATTTTTTGGTGGGAGAGGAACCAAGATGAGTTCCCTGAGAGCTTTCTTACTTTTTTTGTCCTTGGAAGTTCAGTGTTTACGGGCCTGGTTTTCCTGTTCCCAGGGCAGCTGCGGTTCCCGTGTGACGACATCGTGGTCTCGCCGCAGCGTGTGGAGGAAACGCTGTGGTAACTTACGGGCGGTTTCCTCCACCAAGATAAACCGTGGTGCCAACCTCAAAAAAGGGCTGGGGTTTGGTAATGCACAGAAAATTTCATACCCTCCAATTATCTATTTCTATAGGAATCTCCTATGTGTGTGTGTGTTTATAGAATAGTTTGTTGATTTTTAGAGAGAGAGGAAGGGGGAAGAGAGAAACATCAATGTGCGAGCACAGCATCCATCGGCTCCCCCCTGCACACACCCACCCGGATGGAGCCTGCAGCCCGGGCATGTTCCCCGACCGGGAATCGAGCCAGCAACCTTTCCATTCAGGGGACGACACCCAACCCGCTGAGCCACACCAGTCAGGGCTCACCAAAAATATTCTGAATTTGCTTTGATTCTGACAGAGGCATTTGCACTGTGAAAATCAGGCTTAAACGTTGTGAATTTCCCAGTCGTTCATTTTGCACAATCCACACATCCTCTCTCCTCTGACACGTCACCTGTGAAATGTAATTTCTTCTGTTATTCCCCACCTGCTCACTGTGACATCCACCGTCTCTTCCCACCACCGTGAATATTTACAGGTGATTTATATATGGCTGAGAACCAAATTTTTCATGGAGAATCTGGCGGGGCTGGGCTGTTCCCGAGCAGGAGACATCAATGGGGCAGAAAAGCAGTCGCTCCCGGGAAAGGAGCCTGCACCCAGGCTGCTCGTCTGCAGAGCCCTTGCATGTGAAGAGCCTGAAAAAGCATCCTAACAGCTTCCCTCTCAGCAGGACAACTACTTGAAGTCTCCAGAGCCTAAATCTGTTCTGCTGTAAGGATGGACGTGGTGGAGTGGATCCTCTCAGACCCACGCAATTAAAATTTCAGGATGTCTCTTGAACATGCCCTTGTCCTGGACATGTAGGTGTCGTGCCTTTGAGTCGAGAAAAGAGATAAAATCTCAAATTTTCATTATCTTTTATACTTTGAGGACAAAAAAATAGAGACATATTAAATCCACCAATAATTGCGAAGCTTCCTGGGGCTAACTGGGTGTCCAGCAGGGACAGAAATGGGCTGGTTTGGGTTCCCCCTCCTCTCTGCACATCAGGGCAAGAAATGGCCATCTTACCAGCAAGCTTGGCATTTTGTCCAGCCAGTGAATTCCCAGCATGCATATATATCTGTGTATTAATATGTTGGTTTTTGCCTCATAAACAAAATAACTTTAGAAGAATAGACGTACAGAACACTCAGGTTTTAGATTTCAGTTATGTGGCTGATCTGATGATGCTGGAGATCCCTGACGGGGTCACAGGGAATTCTGTGTAGGTCCTGCAGCAGCTCGAAGTTTAGGAATAAGTCAGTGCCGTGGGTGTAATGTACAGTCTCTGCCCCCAAAGACCGACGTCAGGCTGGGCAGGGAAGACGCTGCGTGCAGAGCTGAATGCGGTGCAGTGGCTGTGTTCATGTGAGGTGTTAGCGCGAGAGCCACTCGGCCAAGCCTGGGCCACGGGGGCTGCGAGATCTGAGGCACTTCGACCTGTCACATGCGGTGAGCAGAGAGGGAGGGACGTTCAGGTGGGGTGAACACCTGGAGCCAATGGAAGTGACATTTAATAAATACTGAATATAGTCATCGAGACAAGGCATTCTCAGAAAGGAGTATTACAGGTGAGAGCGTTCATCTTGGGTACGGGAGTTGAGACTATCAAGCATTTCCTTAACTGTCTGAGGGATGCTTTAGACACAGGGTCCTCACAGAAACAAGTCCTGTTTTTTTCTGAAGGAGTTCATAAAATACCTGGTCCTTGAGAGTCGTTTTCTTCCCCCAGTCATGGGGTGGTAAGTACCCGAGGATCAGAGCCCTTTTTGCAGGTGTTACGCTGTTCCATTTGCTTCCAAACGCTGTGTTTTCCAGTGTTTCAGGGTTTCCCTTCAGGGAGGCAGTTGTCAAGGATGCCTACAGGGTGTTCTTTAAAACGTGACTGCAGCACAGGGAAAGGTGGTTCCGGTGGCCAGCCGTGGCTGCCTCCCACGTGGCGCATCTTCCCACCATCGTGGGAGCCGGACGTGGGAGCCCACGTCCACTGCGTGTGCTGGCAGGGCGGGACGGTTGTTTATGTTACGGCTCCGACGCAGGGCCCTGGTGACTCCTCATTAATGGTGTTTGGGGAGCTGTGAAGAGAAATACAGCAGCACACAATCGTTTTGCTAGACTTCCTTCAAAGTAGTATAATTACTGCAAATATTGCCTTAGCCACCTACTGAGACAATTGGAACCAATTTCAGACAGAGTAGAATGCAAGTAATAAAACGAAAGTTCAAGCCAGCTAATATTTCTATCCTCTGATAGGGTTTTAAAAATATGGGTTTAGTAGGACCTGTCTACCTTCCACAGAGCAAACAGCAATTTTATTGGAGTGAAAATGAGTTTATTCGGGGATAGCAGACAAACTGAAATCCCGGACAAGCCATGCATAGGCGAGTCCAAAGAGACAAAGGGAGGCGTTTTTTTTAGGGTTTAGGAGGATATGTGGGAATTTTGCACCAAATTTAATTGAGGGAGAAAGAGCCCGGGGTGCTAGTGGTTCTCACCGGCTGCAGGCAGCAGACAGTGTCCCCTCCCCGCTGGCTGTGCCGCTGAGCCCAGTGGCCCGGCGGGGCGCCCTGTCCTGGCTTCCTGGCTCCCCTCTGAACCAGGTTTTATTACCCAGGTTTCTCATAGACCCTGGTTCCTTTCCAGTGATAATTTCCACCTGGTTTGGACCTTGGGACAGTATTGGAGGTGAGCCTGTCTTTCCTGCCGCTCTGTTTCCTGTTGGATTCTGGTCTGTCCGTGCTCACAGGCAGCCTTTTTGCCTCCGCCTTTGGCTCAGGCGTGGCTCACACAGAAACGGTTCAGGCCCTCGGGCTTCCCTCCCGGTGCAGGGGCTCCTAGGACCAGATCCTTTCCCACAACTTGTGCTGCTCATCACGAAAGTATCGGCAGAGCGAGGAATCCTTAAAACAAGTCTGTTGGGACCAAGACATTG